TTTTTTAAATTTTTTAAAAAATTTTTTTTTTTTTTTTTTTTTTTTTTTTTTTTTGATCTTTTGATAGCCATCTAACTATATGTTTAAGTGAGAGTATATTAATAAATCCAAATTTTATCTAAATATCAAAAATATTTTTGGTTGGAATAAATTTTTTCTATTAAGTATTAAATATAAACTTATTTTTTTAGCAGCCCATAAATACGTCTCTTAATTCATTTCAGAAAAGAAACCTGACAATTTTATTATTATTATTATTTTCTTTTTGTCTTACGGTTTAACATTTACTGCTTTGACATGGGAATAGTATTTTCATGGCGTGAGATTTAATCAAGCGGTCAATATTTAATTGCTATTTTATTTTATTTATTTATATGTGATAATTAAGCTTGCGAGTGTGACTGGCTGCTCTTGACATAATCAGCTATCATCTGGAAAAATAATTCATTTCTATACAAAAATAATTATCTCAAATTAATAAATTGTTGCCGTCTGAGACTATTTGCTGAAACTTAAATGAATATATATATATATATATATATTTCTATGTATGTATGAACAGAGTTTTAAATTGAACATTTTAATATTTTTACTTATAATTATAATTGTATTTCTTCTTATTTTATTTGTTTTGATACTTACGAAGTGGTGAGCCATGTATTTTAATTTATGTAACTAAACTATAATATTTTGAGACATATGTTTTATCTATTATCTTTCATAAAGCAGTTCTGTTGCAAACTGTTAAACCAAACAGAGGCAGAATTGTCATTTATTCAACAACAACTCCAAGTAAGCTGTTCTGAATAAACTGTCTCGAACAGCAAGCCAGCTTATTCTGATAATCTGCAGATTATCACAATAATCAGCTTATCAGCAGATTATAAATAAGCAACAGCTTCCCCAAACATACCCTAAGTAGAAATCGAATCTATTTAAATCTCTCTATCTCTCTCTTGCGAATATTATTTAAGTAGGTCATTAAATTTGGTATATTTACAAGACTATCTGTTTATCAAAGTAACATTGCATATAAGTTGGTGTTGAATTAATTGATTTTTGCAGTATAGGACATCTTTTTCACTTTCCATAATTCTAAAATATTAATTAAAACAATGTGCCTACTATGTATATAATTTTGGGGCATTTACATGAAGGCCACCTCATTTCTATGTATTTGCATATGACACGAAAACTCTACTTTTTACATTTATGCCACTCAAATCTTCCCTATCATATTAAAAAAAATACCACCGTTTTAATCTTTATAAAGTGAAATACACCTCTTTATACATAGGGAAGGTGGCACGTATTAAAAATTTGAAGTTTAGGTGTTAGATATGTAAATACATAAGATTTGAGTGATATGTATGTAAACATTCCTATAATTTCTTATGTATATAGAACATCTGTAGAAAATGAAGGCAATATATACCAATCTTTAATATTGTGATTATTTTATTATTTGCCAATATTTGTATATTTGCGCAAACCAAAATATTTATCATTGAATCAAATTGTGTGTGTGTGTGTGTGTGTATATACGCTGCATACTCAGATTAGTTGGTCGGGCCTGAGTTGGTCGGGCATCTGCTTGTCAGTTGTAAGTTCACTCTGATTCGGGGTTTGATTCTCGTTGGTGAAGGGTGTGGTACTCGAATTGTTAGGCGCATCGGGGATGGTTGAGGCTCGTATAATAGTTTCACACTATATATATATATATATAAAAGAAATAACCGAAAGCTATTAGGCGAGCCGATCATCTTTCAGTGCGCTAT